CCTTTTCTGTTCAGGGCTAAAGCCATGTGGTCCTGTCCACCATTAAAACCATCTTTCCAAGCAGCCTCCTGAACAAACTTTTTCCTTTTCAAGCAGCGTCTCTGAACCTCATTCGGATTTGTTTTTGCACAACCCTGGCACAGATTGGCCTTCCAAAGTGCAAATATGATGGTACCTCGGTGCTTGTCGTTAATTGGTTCAGGGAATACCAAAAATGACAAGTACCAAACATAATTTTCCCACAAGGAATAATGGAAATAGGTTTAATGTGTTCCCAAACCAAAGACAAGTCTTGTGGCCTGCCAGTACCCAGTGGAGCTGGCGGCAGATTCAGGCGGTGAGGAGGGTTGGGGAGGAACCCGAGCCAGACCTGGAGTCTGGGGGAGGCTCTGATGAGGGCTCTGTGTCGGGGGCAGAGAGGGGGCCAGGGCCGTCCGACAGTTATCAGCTGCCTTCAGAGTCAGACATCAGTGAGGCAGAAGAACAGCTGGAGCCTGTTCCCAGTGTACGCATGCGCAGAGTTGCTAGACGAAGGGAAGAGCTAAGGAACAAGGATCGATTCGGGAGTAAGGCCACAGGTGGACGGTGAATGGCCCCTCCCAGAGGAAATAAAAGAGGAGCGAAAGGGGAGTGGAGTTTGCAGGAGACAATTAGTTCGCTTAATTGGCTCGTGACTCTCCTCGTGACTCTCCGATACTCCTTGGCAAGTTCTGCAGATCTCGGCCTGGCAGCTCTCCAAGCCAGATAAGGTCTGTGACTGTAAATCCTCCTTGGAAAGACTTTGCTGGATGTGAAGGAGCAGAATTCACAGTCAATTAATAAAAGGATTTTTTTTTTGTGAGGACAAGGAGTTCGCTTCATGCTCTCGGGAAGCCTCGGTCAGAACATTGACTTATGACCACAATTTGTCTGAAATGGTATAGGGCAGTGATGGCTAACCCTTTTGCCATCATGTGCCAAAAACAGGGGCAGCATGTTCCCAAGTCCATAATTCTATGTGCACGACACACACACACACCCCTGCGCTTGCATGCGTGACTCCCGCCCTCCCCCCGCTTTTGGTCCGCGATGGGCCTGTTTTTCACCCTCCCCAGGCTTCAGAAGCTTTCTAGGAGCCTGGGGAGGGTGAAAACAGCCTCCCCCCAACTCGGAGGCTTCAGGAGGCTTCCCTGAAGCCTCCGGAGGACGAAAAACAACTCAACATGCACACTGGAAATTTGGGAACAGACCGAAGCCTCCGGAGGAAGAAAAATGGCCGAAGTCAGCTGGGCAATGCACTGGAGCTGACAGGGCAATGCCTCGCGTGCCCTAACAAATGGCTCTGCGTGCCACCTGTGGCATGCGTGCCATAGGCTCTCCATCATGAATATAGGGTTTCTTGCTCAATCTAAGGGTTGGATTAGAACAGGGGCCTCCAACTTTGGCCACTTTAAGACTTGTGGACTTCAACTCCCACAATTCCTCAGCCAGCTTTGCTTTGCTGAAATCCACAAGTCTTAAAGTGGGCAAGGTTGGAGAGCCCTGGTCTAGATGACCTCCAAGGTCCCTTCCGCCTCAGTTATTCTAATTCCAACGATAGAGCCCGACATTCCTGTTGCTAAGCAAGACAGTTTGCTAAGTGAGGTTGGCTCCATTTTACCAGCTTCCCTGCCACGACGGACGTTAAGCGAATCCCCGCGACCGTTAAACTAGTAACGGGGTTGTTAAGCGAATCTGGCTTCTTTCATTGACTTGGCTTGTCCGAAGGTCGCAAAAGCGGATTATATGACACGGCATTTCAAGCACAGGGAGCCCTTGACTTACTCGCTTAGTGACCATTTCAAGTGACAGCAGCGCTGAAAAAGAAAGGGACTTATGACCCTCGCAGCAGCCGCACAGTCCCGTGTTCAAAACTCAAGACGCTTGGCAAGTCCTCATAGTTATGACGGCTGCAGGGTCCTGGGGTCACATGATTCCCCCCCCTTTTGCAAACTTCTGAGAAGCAAAGGGAATGGGGAAGCCAGATTCACTTAACCCTGTGGCTAACTTAACAACTGCAGTGATTCACTTAACGACTGTGGCAAGAAAGGTAGTAAAATGGGGCAGAATTCACTTAACAACTGTCTCGCTCATCTATAGGAATTTTGGGCTTTTGTGGTCATAAATCAAGGAGTATCTGTAGCCCATGGTTATAATTAATGTTTTTTTGCCCAAACTGGCATGGACTTCTGGATTTTGGCAAAAACACATCATAGTAAACAGGGGGTTCGCTTAACAACCTTGGATTCACTTAACAACCGTAATGATTCAGTTAATGCACCGCTATAAAAAAAAATGTTTGTTCACACGATGACCTGCTTTACAAGTGCCAAGATTTGTGACTGTAATGGGCAGGCTCCATTACGTTCGTAACTTGAGGACTACCTATAGGTATTGGGTTCCTCGCAGCTGCCCTTATGTATCGGCACAGCATACGTGCTGATCCAAATTATTATGATTTTGTGTCTTTTCCTGTTCTGCAGTATCTTGTCTCATTTGGAGATGGCTCCGCTTACTCCTCATCACAATGAAGATTCACAGAAAGATGTTTTTAAAATGGTTTTCCAAGTTTTGCTAATATGGAATTCCTTCCTTCCTTCTTCCCTCCCTCCTTCTTTCCTATTCCTTCTTTCTGTCTTCCCTCCTTCCCTCTATTCTTCCTTTTTCCTTTCTTCCTTCTACCCCCACCCCTCCCTCTACTCTACCTTTCTGTTTTTCCTTCCTTTTCTCCCTCCCTCACTTTCTTTCCCATTCCTTCCTCCCTCCCTCTTTTCCTATTCCTTCTTTCCATCTTCCCTCCCTTCTTCTACTCTTCCTTTTTCCTTCCTTCCTTCTATCCCCCACCTCTTCCTTCTGTTTTTTTCTTTCCTTTTCTCCCACCCTCCCTTTCTTTCCTATTCCTTCCTTCCTTCTCCCCTCCCTCTCTTCTTTCCCATTCCTTCCTTCTTCCCTCCCTCTACTTTTCTTCCTCTTTTTCCTTCTTCCTTCTACCCCCTACCCTCCCTCTACTCTTCCTTCTGTTTTTTCCTTCTTTCCTTTTCTCTGACCCTCCCTCCCTTTCTTTCCCATTCCTTCCTTCCTTCTTCCCTCCTTCCCTCTTCTTCTCTTCCTCTTTTTCCTTCTTCCTTTCACCCGCACCCTCCCTCTACTCTTCCTTCTGTTTTTTTCCTTCCTTCCCACCCACCCACTCACATGATAGGGTTAATATTTTGACTTTTCACCCAGTTCTCTTCTGCATATTAACAGACTATTTCCCTTAATATGAAGATCTATTTCCACACCGGTCAATATCAGCAAAACTCACAATTAGTGAAAACATTGGGGGGGGGGGGGGGTTGACCTTGATTCCAAAGGCGGCTGTGCTTTTTTGTTAGATGCAAAACAATTTTGTTTAGGCCGTTTTTTTTTGCAATGTCTTTTGTTCTCTTCATGGTATTGGACCTGGGTACTTGAGAGACCGCCTGCTGCCAATTACCTCCACTAGACCAATAAGATCCCACAGATTAGGCCTCCTCCGAATTCCATC